TATAGATGAATCAAGACTGACAGAGATCAGATCATTACCGTTCTAGCCCCTGCTCTTGTCTATATCGTTGATGCATCCTCAGCCGATGCTTTCACACTGTGTACATACATTTTCCTACAAAGTGCCATTGCTTCGGTCTTTCCGTTGCTTGTCATACCAATGTACAAGGAAGTAGGCATGCAGCTGACATCAAGCTTGTTGGCAATGAAGTGCTTAGCCGTAGCATTCATGCTCTCGTTCTCGTACAGAAAAGCGAAAAAGTTGAGGTCATAGTTCTGTACATCCGATAGATGTTGCGAAAGGGGTTTCTCTCGATCACTATCTCGAAGTTGCCCGGATACACGTCGTCCTGTCTCCATAACGTCCAGGCCGCAGTCGGTTAATTTTGTTTTCAATCTACCTTTCGAGATGTCACTTCTGGTCGGAACTTCCGCCAGCCTTTCGTTCTGGTGCATTGCCACATCTCGGGAGCATTCTCCAAGTTTTGTGGCCCGGAAAATAACTCGAAGCCTATTGGATCGTCGTTTCCTATCATATGTCTGAGACAAACAGCGTTTGAACAAATGCTCACGGACGAAGATGCTTGCGTCAGCGAGGTGTTGATGAGGGACTGGGCCCTGTTCCTGGCGCATTCACCATTTTCGGACCTGCTGTCGCTCGGGGACTAGATATGACGCTAAACGAAGCTTATCTTCGACACGAACAGGTCTTGGTTTCGGAGCCTCAACGGTCACGCTTTACTCTTCTGGGTGCGTGCATTTCAAACTTTAGTTTACAGTATGATCGCCATCGTTGTCGTCGTCAAATGAGTTTGGGAGAGTGGGTCGGGCCATAACCAAATCCCTAGAGATCGATGGTCTACTGAGTACTGGAGGACCCTTTCTCGATGATCAATATGGACACTGTGTCGGTGTTGTTCTACCTCGGCCAGGCTGATGACGTCCACAGTCGCAGTAGGCATGCCCGCTATCGACAGACTGCTTATAACCCCATGCTTTGAGTGTACCTCAAGTCGAATGGCCAACAATTCCCAATCAAAGTGTACTAACAATGAAATCACCTACAACTTCCGCCGAGACATTCGGTCCTCCTATAAGCCCTGCCACGACCTTGTGGGATATCTTACGAACATCTGCGCACCGACAGCCCGACCAAAGTGCCTTCATATGCGCTCATCAACCATCTGATCATCTCAGCTGGTTGTTACCAGTCAATCTCCGACCAGCGGCCGGCTCAAAGCACCTCGACTGGAGTTACAAGCAGCTATTAACCATCGGACAAAATGTTGGTGCACTACTTGTCAGAGCAGGCTTTATTGCCGGGTCTAACCTCATGGTCATCTGTGCAAACAATGCAGAATGGACCGCTCTGTTCTGGGGTTGTGCTGCTGCTGGTGTCGCTTTTGCACCTATAAATCCTGGACTGCTTGCTCGGCAGAAAGAGCTTCGACATATCTTCGATACCTTGAGGCCAAGCGGAGTCGCTACGAGTGACTCTGCCTGGGCAACGCAACTTACGACAAGTTACAAAGATCTCTTACACGTAAAGAATATCAAGTTACGCGTTTTGTTTGGCGACACCGCAAAGACAACACCTCCTGATGGCTGGGTGGACGGTCGAAATATCTTCGAAGCAGACGTCGATATGAGTCGGCAGGATTCTGGTAACATAACACCATCTCTGGAGCATCCTGCAGTTATCTTGTCTACATCTGGTACCACTGGCCTGCCTCGGTTATGTTGCCATACGAACAGGAACATAGACGCGCAAACGCAAGAGTACAGCACTGTCAACCACATCAATTCGACTTCTCGAGGCGTTCCAATAAGCCCAGGCTTCCATGTCTTAGCCATTTGTTCCGCCACAAGCATCTGGCGTGGTGGGGGTGCGATCATCATTCCGTCGGCACAGTTCGATGCTGCTGCTGTAGTGCGTGTCTTGAATGATTTTGCTCCAACACACATAGCTTGTACTCCTGCAATCATGTATGCTTTAGCAGCTCAACCTGGCTTTTCTCCGACAGGTTATCCGAGTTTGGACAACGTGAGCATTGGAGCCGATCAAGTCACGGAAGAGCTGATCGAGCAGGTCGCAAACACACTGAAGCCGAAAAAGATTCGTAACGGATGGGGCATGAGCGAGGGTATCAGTGTGCTGGGGTCCATATACAAGACAGAACAACACCCATGGTTAAGCGGCGACCAGTCGATCGGCCACGTCCTGGGCGGGAGTGCCGTCAAGGTGTGTGATCCAGAGTCCCAAGACGTTGTTTCTCGCGGCTCTCTTGGTGAGCTACACATGTCGGGTCCGGCGATCGTTGCAGGATATTATGCCAGAGGAGAAATCTACCATGATGACTCTTTCTACGAGAAGGACGGTAGAATCTGGTTCAAAACCGGCGACGCTATGGTTATGGACTCTGATGGTTGGCTGTATATGAGTGGGAGATACAAGGACCTGATCATTCGTGGNGGAGAGAACCTATCTCCCAGCACGATCGAAAACTGCCTGAACAAGTTGGGTGGCTTCCAGGCCCAAGTTGTTGGCGTTGANGACCATTTCACCGGTCAAGCAATCGTGGCTGTGATCNNAAGGTCGATGACGAAGATACTAAAAGATGTCCACGCCCTGAAGGAACAAGCCCAGAACGCTGTGTTGGAGGAATTGGGAGTCTCATTCCGATTGACGGCTGTCTATACGCTGTCTGAACTCGGACTCTCATCATTCCCTGTCACCGCAACGAACAAAGTACGCAAGATTGATCTACGGCAGAGAGCTCGCAAATTGCTAGACGGCACAGATGACAAGCAGAACAATACCGACAGCCCTACCATGAGCAGCAAGAATGGAACAATTGCCGAGGTACTTGGTATCTGGAAGAACGTTCTTGGAGCTAATACCGGTGGACTCGATCACAAAACGTCAGTACACAACTTGGCGGATAGCCTGGCGCTACTGAGGTTCTGCTTCTGCGTCGAAAAGCAGCTCTGTAAACGTATAACACCGGCAGATTTGTTTGAGAATGGAACACCAGATCTGCAGGCCAGGCTCTTAGATAGCCGATCCTCGACGAATTCCGACCCATCATCAACGTCAGGAACATCGGCGTCTACTGCAAAGTCTCTGACTTCGATAGAGCCGAGAAACAAAGAGACACTGAATCTTTACCTTGAGAAGATGGGCTACGATTTCGACATTGATGTAGAAGATGCTTACCGAGGCACTGACACGATGGATATATTCGAACTCAACACCACAAGACCCGCTTCTGACAACCTCCGCCTTGTCTGTCGGACGAGGAAGGATACTACGATTGCTCACCTCCAGGAGTGTGTCAGTAGATGCCTCATCGCTCGACCTGTGCTGAGGACTATCATCGTACCACTTGAAGCTGGAACTACGGCTCCAAAAGTTCGTCATGTGGTCATGAAGCCATCCGAGCAATACATGAGCACAATAATCGAGATCGTCCATGCCGTCGACGCAGGGGACCTTCAAACTTTGACAAAGGATACGTCTAAACCGTTTGCACAAATCGGTCAACCATGTTTCCGTGCCCAGATCTATCCAGTCAAAGGATCCCAGCGGCCTGGTCTTTGCGTTGCCTTCAACCACGCAATCTTCGATGCAGTGTTTATAACAACGTTCTTTGAAGATTTGGATGCCACGTTATCGAACAAAGCGACAGAGTCTCAATGCATTCCTTATAGCGTGTTTGCGAATATGTTCCATCTGCACAAGGACAGCGCAATGGGACAAACCACCAAATCATATCAACTCCAAAAGTTGGAGCAACTAGACAACCTTGAGCCATGCTTATGGCCACGTTCCAAGGGTCCCGAACTCTTGATCGGCGACGACGAAGGTTGGAGATATCGAGATGCGACTCCTGGAAACCCTTCTGAGCGAATGAGCCAAGATGCCACTGCCGGGATCATTCGAGGCGATCCTGTTGTCCGCGCCATCGAGTTGCATTCTCTACCAAACCTGCGCTCTAAACACTCCATCGAGCCATTCACAATCGTAAAAGCCGCAGTAGCAATCTTCAACGTCGAACAAACGAAGCAGCAAAAAGCCGTCTTCGCTACCGCAGAGGCAGGCCGCAAATGGCCATTCCAAGAACCTTGGGTGCAACAACAACTTCCCAATGCCATGCATGTGGCTGGACCAACCCTTGGATGGGGCTTCGATTTCATCGCTGTCAATGACGATGAATCTGTGAGTTCAATGCTACAAAGGGTGAGCCAAACGCAAACTCTCGACACCGAGCATTGCCACGCACCATGGGCTTCCATCATCAAAGACCTCGGACCCGAAAAAGGGAAGCTTCTACGTGATATCGCTGTACGACAAATTCTGAGCTGGGATCCAACGACACAAAGTCGAGCACAGAATAGCACTGCACTGGAAAGCCTTGACCTAATCGACCGCAGGTCTTTCCCTGACCACGGTTTCCTCTGGAACCTAGGTCTAGAGAGTCCTACTAGAATTGGCGGGTTTGCGATTTATGATGATGTGCATTTGTGTTGTGCAGAGGTGGAAGTTGCGCTCGAAAGAGTGTTGCAGATAGTGGAATGGTTGACTGAAGCTGAGAATTGGGAGAAGCCGATAGGGCTTGTGCGCAGTATGAATTGAGTAGATCTGATACTGTATTGATTGAATGAAGCCATCTGTACGTACATCTGTCTGCTCTATGACTGTATCAAGAGTGTTGTAGAGAAGGAAATTGGGTGCTGAGCGAGGTGGATTCGAGAAGGATTGGATACTGAGGCTTTCATTCCTGAGTCTGAACTGGGGAGCAATCACGATGCCGAGAAAATTGTCATACATGGCAGTGAATTGATCATTAATTCGTCAGAGGCCAAAAGGCCCCGCAAGTCTATCGCGACGGTTTACTGCTTCAAAACGAAAGTCTAGCAAAAGCAAGGGTATCCAATTCTAAGCGCCTTGAGGTCTATCACCACATATGACTTGACAACCGGGTATAAGCATAGTAACCATCATCTTTGTCGGACTCCTTCAGTGATGGTAGCTCCTTCAATCGAGGTCGACACGCTTTGTTTAGGTTCGATGCCCTCAACGTTTTCCGAGTGATGTTGAGTGGGCTCTTGTGAGTCCAGAGACATGCCCTTTACTGCTTTTAGAGCAGGATCGGACTCGTCTAGAATAGGCTTGCCTTCAGGGGTAGCTTGCCACTTTGCGACTTCCTTCTTGAGGACTTCGAACTCTTTCTCCATACGGCGGCCGAACACGTCGATATAGAATGTGGCGCCGTTGTAGGTCGCCCAGGTGAAAACAACCAAGAGGAAAGTTGCGCTGGCCCAGCGGTACCAAAACCACAGGGNGCATGGTACCATGGTGATGAGGGCATACATGTACTGGATCAGCATAAATGCTGGCCCCTGCAGAACCTCGGGCAACGAAAGCACAAGTTTGCCAAGGAAGTTCTTTGCGTAAGACTTGCGAAGCCAAGTGAAAGATGTCGGACGTCCNNTATGAGTAGGTTAGCATCGTGTTAATTGAGCAAAGTGCCAAGAAGACGTACCAGCAGCAATCTTGTCCTTTCTTCTGACAGTGATCATGAAGTGGTAGCTCAGCTGCCAACATGCATAAGGAACAGTGGCCCAGATGATCATGCCGCCAAGAGTGTAGTGTTCGGGAGAGGATGGAGAGGAGTGCTTGATGCTGTAGATGGCAGGAAATTTCTCCTTCTGTAGCTCTAGGGGGATGAGATGGACAAGACAGTGCAGTGTCGCACACGGCATGATATGGATGAACAGACTNNGCAGACGTCAGCAACGACCAGGGATGGATCATGACTGGAGAATAACCAACCTTGTGACCTTGTCCAAGGAATGAAAGACCAGCGAGTTTCTCCACATGGCAATGGCGACGGCGTTGTTGCCCATAGCTAGACAGTAGGTACTGATGAACAATCTCTTGCTGTTAGGGAAGAACCACATTGTTAGGAGCATGAGAAGATTGACAAAGTAGCACAAGTCTGCGAGGAAGTAGTGGTAGCCAATCTTGTGGTACTTGTAGTAGCGGATGGGCATGAAGTAGGCCAGCTGGGCGGTATACCAGATGTGGAAGTACTCGGGATAGGCGCCTATGAGGTAGCCAGAGATGAAGATGTTGAGTACGCCGGTGATGAAGGAGATCTTCTCGCGCAGCGTGACGGCTTTGGCGTCGTTCCACCTCTTGCCGAGACGGTCGACGTTGTCCCGCATGCGTCTCTTGTACTTTTCCAGTTGCTCGTCGGGCGTAGGGACACGGCGCCTCCATTCTTCGACCATCTTGTCTTTTGCTGTAATACTAGACATCCTAAGCTTCTGCTGCTGTCGACGGACCTTGTCCTTCTGAGCAGTGATGGAATGCTGGAAGCGCTCTAGTCTCTGAGGAAGGGCCAGGTTCTCGATGATGTCGAACATGGTCAGGCGATCGAGGGGAGGGAAGCCTTCATCGTCGGGTTCGCTGTAGCTTCCGTTTGAAGTGGTTCGTGACAGGACGCTGTAGGGATAGCCTGGCGAAGTAGGCTGAGATGTCATGCCTACGCACTGCTGAGCATCAACAGCCGAGAGGTAGTCGGCATCAGGGGTAGAGATTTGGCCTGAAGCTACAGCAGCACCAGAAGGCTCAGCCTTGGGCTTGAGTGTGTCGACAGGCTGCGACATGGCGGTGAACGGGCAGAGGGGAGAAGGGAGAGATGGAACTCGATGGATGGAAGGAGGGGTTGTCGAGGTGTAAAGACAAGGAAATAGCTGGAGGTTTAAGCGGACATTACAGCTCTCACGTGTGCGTTTAGGTGCAGGTGGAATGCAAGTCAGGAGCGACGTGAATACAAGACGGGTACTTTTTGGACCATGCCCGTGATCGTAGCCATGTCATTGGCCTGTGCTCGTGCTGATCAGTTCCGCTCCGCTCATCCTCGCTCTTGGCGGCAGTTTCGCGTGACGCGCCTGCCTCCATCAACGCGTCGTCCGACTTGATCAGTCTTTCCACGCACCTGCCCATAGCCCGCTCACCAGCACACCATCTTGGGCCGTCATCATGGGCAAACTAATACGGCTCGAGTTATTCAGTGCGTATCCCCCTTCTGACCATACCACATTCGAACCCACTAACAATTGCGCAGACTTCAAGTCCTACAAGGGCCACCATGTTCTGCTCTTCGGCGATTCTTACTTTACCTCGATCATCGGTCCCAATGGCTCAGGCAAATCCAATTCTATGGATGCCATCTCCTTTGTCCTCGGCATCAAGTCATCACATCTTCGCTCGACTCATTTACGCGACTTGGTCTACCGTGGCCGCGTTCTAAAGACTTCTCGCATCAATGCCGACGGAACCGCTACTGAAGTCCCCGAGGGTGAGGCTCAAGACCCCGAGACCGAGTCTGGCGCACAAGAGGAGGACCAGGACACTCAGACGAGCACTCAGCGCGCAGATCCCACCAACGCTTGGGTCATGGCTGTCTACGAGGACGACGCTGGAGACGAACAGGCCTGGAAACGCTCCATCACTTCTACCGGCCAGTCCGAATATCGCATCAACAACAGACCCGTGTCCGCAAAGCAGTACAACGAAGCTCTCGAGGCTGAGAATATTCTGATCAAAGCTCGCAACTTCCTCGTCTTCCAGGGTGATGTCGAGGCTATTGCTTCTCAGAGTTCCAAAGATCTCACCAGGTTGATTGAGCAAATCAGCGGCAGTCTTGAGTACAAGGCCGACTACGACCGTCTCAAGGTTGAAGCCGAGAAGGCTGCTGAAGACCAAGCTTTCAGACTAAACCAACGCAGAGGCATCAATTCCGAAATCAAGCAATATCAGGAACAAAAGCGCGAGGTCGACAGCTACAACCGCAAAGTCGATGAGAAGGATCAAGCTGTTGTCACCCACGTCCTGTGGAAGCTGTTCCACTTCCAACAAATGGTCGAATCATCTGGTGCTGAGATACAAAAGCACCAGGACGAATTGAAGGAATACCGGAGGAATGTCGAGGCCTTCGAGGCTAGACTTGCCGAAGCACAACAGGAACAGGCTAGAGCCGGCCGCGAGGTTCACAAGCTTGAACGCAACATCAAGAACAAGGAAAAGGCTGTCGAAGAGAAGGAGAATGAGCTTTTGCCCATCAACGAGAAGATCTCCCTCTCTAACAAGAAGCTCGAGGCATCGCGCAAACGCATCACTGAGATTTCAAAAGAGCGTGACGCCCAGTCTCGCAACGCCGACCATTTGAAGAAGGACCTTGATGTTGTTCAAAAAGCTCAGAGTAGATGGGAGCAGGAGTGGTCGGCTGCACAACAACAAGCAGGACGCGAACTTAGCGAAGCCGATCTCCAAGAATACAACCGTTTGAGAGGAGATGTCAACAAGAGAACCGCAGCCGACCAAATCAAGGTCGACAATATCACTCGCCAATTGAAGACGGACGAAGAGACTGTCGAGAGTTTGAAGAGCAAGGTCGATTCCACGGAGAACCACATTTCCAAACTTGATAGCGAAGTTTCCTCCTTGCGATCAAGGCGTGATGAGCTGACTTCAACCGTTCGCTCCATTAACAACGAAGCGGACGGCAAGAAGAAGGAGTTCAATACCATGACATCGGAGAGATTGAAGTCTGCTCAGAAACACACCGAGATCGAGGAGAAGCTGCAGGAAGTACTACGCAAACTCAACGATGCATCTGTATCTCAACGAGAATCCGAGAAGGAAACAAGAGCTCGCGAGACTGTCGCTGCTATGAAGAGAATCTTCCCTGGTGTCCGAGGTCAGCTGTGGTCGTTATGCAAGCCAAAGCAAAAGAAATATAACGTGGCTGTCAGCACTGTCCTCGGTCGCCATAACGACTCTATTGTAGTGGATACGGAGAAAGTGGCAAAGGAGTGCATCCAATACCTTCGCGATCAACGTGCTGGGCAGGCAACCTTCATTCCTCTCGACACCATCATGCACAAAGCACCTGACGCCAACCTGAAGGGCATGCATAGGGGCATGCGTCTTGCCATTGACACAATCGATTATGAGAATGCTGTTGAGCGCGCCATCTCTTTCGCTTGCGGAAACAGCATAGTATGCGACGATCTACAGATTGCTAGACATCTCTGCTACGAAAGACGTGTCGAGGCCAAAGCAGTTACACTCGACGGAACTATCATCCACAAGGGTGGCCTCATGACCGGTGGACATGGCTCAAACGACCAACGAAATGCACGAAAATGGGAGGACTCAGAAGTCGAAAACCTGCGCCGTCTGAAGGACAAGCTGCTCGCTGACCTGAGTGCTCTGCCAAAGGGTCATCGCCGTCAGGCAGAAGAAGAGACCCTTCAAGGTGAACTTGCAGGGCTCGAGTCACGTCGCGCCTTTGCTGACGAAGAGCTCAAGGCACTCGAATCAAACATCGAGAGCAAGCGTCGTGAGCTGAGCTTTGCGAGACGTCAGCTCGAGGAGACAAGGCCAAAGTACGAGGAGCAGGCTCACGGTGTCACTACTTTGCGTAGTCAGCTCGAGTCTTACTCATCGTCGGTCGCGACTGTCGAGGATGAAGTCTTTGCTGCTTTCTGTCAACGTCTGGGATACAGCGACATTCGCGCATACGAAGCTCAGCAGGGTAGTGCCCAGCAAGAGGCTGCGCAAAAGAAGCTGGAATTTACCACGCAACGCAGCAGATTGGAGAACCAGCTTGCCTTTGAGACACAACGTCTGCAGACAACCAAAGACCGCATTGCTAAGCTGCAAAGCGATGTGAAAGAAGCTCAAGCCAACATTGCAAACCTCGAGTCAGAACGCGACACTCTAAACAACGAGCTAGATGAACTCAACGCCGAGGTTGAGCAGATGAACGAGCAGCTGATCACACGCAGGACGAAGTACGACGAGAAGTCCGACAAGGTCGCTGAACAACGACGCGAAGTAGCAAAGCGCTCAAAGTCGATCGAAAGCACCAACAAAGACATCACCGCTTTACAAGAGGGAGTGCAAAGATCCAATTCAGATCGTTACTCTTTGCTTCGCAGGTGCAGAATCCAGGAAATCAATGTTCCGCTTACCTCACAGAGTAGGAAGCTGGAGTCTCTGCCACTTGACGGTGGCATGGCTGCGGACGAAGATGCCATGGACGTCGACGAGGAGGAAGGATCTCAACGTGTGCCTGGAGTCAATAATTATGGTATTGATGTTGACTTCTCGGACCTTGATAACGACTTGAAGGAAGACGATTCAGAGCAATGTGAGGCAAACCTGCAAGAGAGCGTCTCAAATATACAAGCCGAGCTTGAAAAGATGGCGCCAAACATGAGAGCCATCGAACGCTTGGAAGGCGTCGAAGCACGCCTGAAGTCCACTGATGACGAATTCGAAGCAAGTCGCAAAGCCGCCAAAGAAGCCAAGGACCAATTCGACGACATCAGAGACTTGCGGTCCGACCTATTCACAAAGGCTTATGACCATATCTCTGGCCAGATTGATCAAGTATACAAGGAACTCACACGCACTGCCAGTTTCCCTCTTGGAGGCCAGGCATACCTCGATCTGGAAGATACTGATGAGCCATATCTCAGTGGTATCAAATACCACGCCATGCCTCCACTCAAGCGTTTCCGTGATATGGAGCACTTGTCTGGTGGCGAGAAGACCATGGCTGCACTGGCACTGCTCTTTGCTATTCACACATACGCCCCTTCACCATTCTTCGTCCTCGACGAGGTTGATGCCGCTCTCGACAATGCCAACACTGCCCGTCTGGCCAATTACGTCAAGGAACACGCAGGCCCTGGCATGCAGTTTGTCGTCATCTCTCTCAAGGTACGGACTATAATGCATTCTGTGTGGAAGTGCTTTGCTAACATATGTGATAGNACCGGACTCTTCCAGAACAGTGAGACGCTTGTTGGTGTCATGAGAGATCAGACTGTGAACAGCAGTAGAACCCTGACTATGGATGTAAGTTGATAGAAGTATCGTGATTTGATTGGTGCAGCAACTGATATGATTGCAATAGCTTCGCAAGTACCAGGCTGCATAGACAGCTGATGCAATAGGGAGAAAGGGACGATACGGTGTGTCTTGATCTAATGTAGAAGTACGAGAAGGGAAGTCACGCAAGGAGAAGATGTTATTGTTAGCTGTTGCTCGATACCACAAAGTAAACATGTCGATTCTGAACAACCGTGCGATCTCAACGAGAAATATCAAATTCCATTCTATATACAACAACATGAGGCATAAAGTGAAGCAGAGACAATAGAGAGTCAAAGGTATGAAAGAGTTTAGAAAAAGGAATGCATGCTTTTTCTTTCAGACTATGTTGTAAGTAAGGAACCTCCTCTCATCATCGATCGTCCTTTCCCATTTTTGTGTGCTCCAAAAAAGAAAGATCGTTGCAAAACATCAGACTCCCCACTACTGCTACATCCACCATCGATTGATTCATTTCATCAGAAGATAACCTCTTCTAGGATCTGCTGCCGAAGCCACCACGTTTGTAGGCACCGCCAGAGGAGGAACCGCCACGCGAAGACGGGGGCTCGTATCTGCCGCCAGAGGCGGGAGGGGGTTTCGCCATCACCGCGGGGGGTTCTGGGTGTCCAGCGCTCGCGGGGAGCGGCTGCCGGAGGGGCAGAGTCGGAGGGAGGTGCGGCACCGGCTGCTCCACGCAAGTGGACAG